AAAAAAAACAGAAAACAAAACAAAAAACACCAAAACGGAAACAGACTGTCACCAAATGCGCAAACAGCTATGCAGCACTTAATAAAATCAGACCGGACAGGGCGTATGAGTGCTGCTTGCCATATCTCCAAAAAAAAGGAAGAAAAAAAAATATTCAATCGATATTTCCTCTACATATAGGCACATACATATGTACATGTGTAGGTGAGTGTGCGCTTACCAAACGCGCGCGCGGATAAGCTGCTCGGTAATGATATGATGATGATGATGATGATGATGACGATGATGATTACGGCTCATTGGCGACCATCTGAATTTCGTTGGGATTTTGTACACTTCTTTATTTTTCCACAATTTTCGTTTATCGCTTTTAGTGATTTGCCAATTGGTCGCTGAGTCATACGAAAATAATATTTTGCGAATTGAAATAAAGATGTGCTTTCAAAAATTTTTTTTCACAATTTCCACTTCATTATCATACAAATATTAAAGACTACAATTTGCATATTGTTTTCACACATTTTTTTGTTTTTGTTTTTGTTTTTCTTTGAATTTACTAAAGTATTGTGTTGGCGCGAATTAGAGTTAAAAAGGCGTTGTGTTTCTGCTAAAAGGGGAAAACAAAAACCCACTGTTGTCGGCATGCAAGTCAATGCGAGGGAACACAACCAACTGTTGTAGTTTGTCTGGCAACCAACTGTTGATTTTTTGATTAGCAACTTCAGCATTTTCCTATACATACATAAATATTTAGTCGATTTAGTCATTCATTGTATGCGTGGCAATTAAAGTATGACAAATTTAGTCGTTTCAATTTGTTGCTTAATTAAAAAAAAATAAATAAACCATTATTTAACTCTGACTTACAAGCAGTAAAAGCTTTTGTTGCATTCATTAATTATTTCCAATATTTTTTTTTGTTTTTTTTTTTTTTAGTACCACCACTTTTCAGCTATACTTTATGAATTTATGCGCGAATTTACTATTCAACTCATTTTCGGTCACAATTTTTCGTCCAACGGCTTTAACACACCAATTACTACTGAGCGCGCTCAATTGAATCCGCTAATACTTTGCTGTCCAATGGAAGTAAATTCACACACACACAAACATAGATACCCGCTATTGCAAGTGTATTTGTGTGTTTGTTGGCGCTGGTAGTCTACTTGTACTTCTCGTTGGTTAGCGCGTGTATGCTGGTCGATTGGTTGGCGCACACACACACACACAGTTCCTTTACTGCGTGTAACTAACTACTCGTACATGCTCTCGATGTTTGGGTTTGATTAGCAGCTTTCGACTGTGTAAAGTAGTACACTTTGAGAAAAACATATACATAAGTTTGCAGTAATTAGTGTAGTGTGATTTATAAGCTAAAAACAGCGCACGTTTCTATCGCGTCAAATGCTTTTTGCGGTTAGCTGCGTTGTTTGTTATTACACGTGTAAGGTACATAAAAAAAGTTTGCCATATAATGTTGTAATTTAGAAGCTAAGCAATTAACATGCCAATGTTTATATAGTGGGAACTCTATTATAAGATTCTGTATTGCGAGCAGCTAAATAAATGAGTAAAGCTCACGAGTTGTTACATTTTTGGCAAAAACGTATTTTTGATCCAAAATGGTGGCACACTTATAATTACACCATGCATTATCTTTAGGTTTTTATAAAGAACAAGATTCTGTTGCGAGATTATATTTAAATAAAATCTTAAAAAAGATATACTACAAGTAGTTTTTAAGCAAAAAACAAAACCGACTTCAATTCTCATATGAAGATTTAAGGTTATCGTTAATTTCTGATCATGATCTAATGATCGGGGAGGAAAACAAATTCCGAACTTTTTTGGAAGTCGGTTAAAAATAACCGCTCGTGCTCATATACCCACAGTTGTGTATGTAACGTATTTAGTATACGCCCCGTAGAACCATACACAGTATGCCAACACGTTTACTCGCACAACCTTAACTTAAAAGTCATATTATTAAAAAGTAATTAAATATTGATTGGCATGGAAGATTCTTCCACAGTATACTTCACGCATATATATGTCAATTTCTGTATGCATGTAGCAATTCTGGAATGAATTTCGAGTGTGCCAATGAAAATTATAAAATTAAAATTTCTGTTTCGCAAATCATCGTAATTGATTATAAACAATGCAATTTTTTCATTTGGTGGCACACTAGTTTTATTACTCTAGATTAGTTGCTTTTGGCAAGAACCTTTTTACCATTTGATGTTTATAGATCGAAAAATCGTTAAATTTTAAAAATTACAAAATAGCTGCGACAAATATTCTGCACGCTGGCATTTTTTTAAATTTACTGGCACACTCTTGCATCTTCACAGATATGTTGTGTTTGATACCGACTTTGATTGCCTCTAATATGAACATTATATTTGAAAACTTACCAAATTTATAAAAAAAAAATTAAAATTTTTTTGAGTGACAATGAAAAACTGAACAATTTCATTTTAAGACTAAAATTGTTCAAATACTTGATTTAATTTTTAATGTACTGGTTTCTGGAACTCCATTGAATTAAATAATTGCAAAAAAAAAATGCTCTAGCGTTTGTTTTTCCGGCGAAAAAAGGGATTGACACTGAAAAAGCAACTCGTGAGATTCGCACATGTATGTATAGCTGCGAGTAAAAAAATAGCAGTGCAATTCAAAATGATGCTGCTGGTAACTTATGTTTATTTATTTATTGGTAATAATTTTTATTTCAAATATGGGCCGATCTGTATCAGAAACCGCGTAGATAAAAGTTTAGAAGCTTGCACAAAGCTCACTCAAATTACTTAACGGAAAGCGTGCTATTTCTTTTGAATTTGCCTTAATTTTTATCTGGCTTCTTTAAAGTGCAATTTCTACAGTGTAACAATTTGTGAAAAAAACGCTTACATTATTACATTGAACAACACTTGTTACAACCGTAAAGAGGTTTATCACACACACGATTGAACATACATTAATATTACAAGCCGATAAATACTCAGTTTTAGCTGGGCTGAAAGGCGACACACCAAAGTCTACTTCTAGATTTACATGTATACGTATGTACATGGATATGGATATTCAGTCATACATGTAATGGTACATATGTATGTAGTAAAGTATCCCTGTAGGAAATGTATCTAGCTATAAGCTAACTTTAAGTTGATTAGGAAGGAGCTAAAAATCACTATTATCTGTATATTTTCTTTGACGAAAGCTAACTATATTTCTATGGCGATGGCCGCGAAATAGTCAAGGGTAGTAACCCAGTGAGAAAATTGAAGGTATAGTAATCGAATAAATAATCAGTAAAACAACCCTTTGCACATTCGAAAATGCATTTTTTTTCCCAGGGCGACGTCATAAGAAAAGTGGGGCATTCAAATTTTGCATTACCTAGTATCGAGAAATGAATGTGTTTTAATATGAAATTTTTGGAACTTTCTGAATATATTCGAATGCTGATTACATAGTTAGCAGTAATATGATTGAGAACTCATAAGAAGTACATTATATTTATTTATCACGCATGTAATGCATTACTACTTTTCCCACTGGGCACCTCTGCATTAGATGTAGTCAAGGGTGGTTACCTCCGTATTTGATGTAACTAACTTGTAACTAACTACTTTTGGACATAAAATATCAATAGGAAAAACAAAATATTTTTTTTTTCATTTACTTTTTTATTTTATTTTATTACATTTCATATTTTTTTACATATTCTACTGTGGGTGGTCCCATATTCGAACTCGGTCATACATAACTTCAAAATGATAATATGAAATTTCGATCTGCCTCTTATTTGTCCTCTATTCGAAAAAGTGTCTGCGAAGTGCAGGATATTAAATACCCTGCAGGAAATGAGACTAGTTTGTAGCTAACTATTAACTAGTGGTAACTATTTATTAACTATTTCCTTTGGCCGTAACTAACTACTTTTGAAGGGCGATGGCCGCAAAATAGTGATCACTGATTTCCTCTGTATTAGATGTCAACTAACTTATAGCTAACTACTTTTGGACATAAACTATCAATGACAAAAGATTTTTTAAATTTTTTATATATTTGAAATTTAATTTATTTAACATTACATAAATATGTATTTGCTTACTTGTTTACATGTTCTTTTGTAGGTGGTCCCACATTTGGGTTGCATCAGACATAACATCAAAATAATACTGTAAAATTTCGATCTTTATTTTATTTGTCCTGAATTGGAAAAATAATCTACGAAGTGCAGAAAAAAGTGTATTCAAAGAACTTTTTGTAGGAGGATATTTAAATAGAAACTTGGAAAGAAAACAAACTTCCGATAACGTGTGCATGACTCCTGCACGACTTTACAACTCATTTAAAGGTAGTTTTGTTGTAGCTAATGAAAAGTTAGTTATTTATCGAAATCCCGAAAAACAGTTAACTATAAGTTGGTTATTTTAGTTAATTGCAGGGTGGAAACGCCGTTTAATGTAAGCTTTTTTTAGCCAACCACAAGTTATATGTTTTATAGAAATCCCGCAAAAAAGCTAACTACAAATGGGTTATTTTCTATCAATTGATAATATTTTTCTGCAGGGATGTATGACTATTCATATGTACATGCATATGTATGTATGTATATCCGCTTAACGCGCAAATTCAATAAGCGAGTAGCTGAATGAACAAACCAACAAATTAATAGAACTACTACTGGTATGGCAATGAAAGTGGGCGCTCATCGATGGTTTCTACATTGCATTGCAATATGATGACACTATTACGGTATTAAATTATTAACCCCCATTCTTCGCTTTTACGCTTTTTTACGAGTGATAGTGACAGTGTAGCGTAATTTCGGATAAGTAGTAGTGAATGAGCCGGAGGGAGCTTGCTTTTTTTGGTAAGGATTGACGGGCGTATGCGGGTGCGCTCGCATGTAAGTGTTTGTTTGTATAAAGAAGAGATAGGTATGTTATCAACACAAAAAAAAAAAAAAAACAAAAGTGTGTGAGTTCAATAAATTTTGTGTGATAGCACTGGGGTGGCAATGTATGTATGTATGTCAGCATGCGGCTTGTACCGTAAAATGATAATGATGAAGGTGATGATAATGTTGATGAGAGCTTCGTATAAAGTGAAGACTCGGCTATTTTGAATGAGGTTGGTATGTCCGTGTGTGCATTTGTAGATGCGTGTGTTTAGTGTGTGTGTGTGTGTGCGAATGTTAAGCCACTTTGCATAGTTATTTGCGAGCAACACGCTGATGAACAAAGGACATATTATTCAAGGCTTATTAAGCATATACTCCACTTATTATTGTTGGTGTATACTTTAGCCTTTGTACTGGTTGCTTTTGAGAGCGATATCAGCCAATATTTTTCTATTTTTTTTTTGTATTTAACTGCTTAGTGTTACTTATATTTGACTCGCTTTTCAATGAAGAGCAAGTAAATATGTTGGTAGAATAATGACAGCCATTGAGAGCTATTTAGCGTCAATATTGTTGTCATAGCATATCTTGCTTTCATATTTCCTTCTTGCTTCTTTGTCTAATTTTTTTTTGCATGGTGACAAGGTTTTATTCTTTATCGACGGGTGGGCGCAGTCAGTTCTAGGCTGCTATGCAAAACGTACTTTTGAGGAACCATAAATTAATTCCGTAAATGAGTGGTGTTTGCGGCCACACAGCGCGTTTAGTCAACAAGTGTAAGCGTAAGCGCCTCAAGGTATGCTATAATTTATGTTCGAGTGA